GGGTGGCAGGCGGCCGGGGCGCACTCATGCCGGCCCCACACCACAGGTGTTCGGCATGATCTTCACCTGCTGCCTGTACAAGAGCCTGAAGCTAGAGCACTACTGACCCCGCCCACGGCCGGCCACTGGGCATGTGCGCACAGCTCCCCTGGAGTGACTACTGAGCGGATACTACTGGGATACTACTGACGGCCAGGGAGCTGGGGCCCCTGGGTGCCTCTCCCTCCCCTCTGCCCCTTTGCCAGGGAGGTTGTGTTCTCATGCCCGTGCCCCCACCAACGTGCCATCACCGTGACCTCTGGGGACCCCCATCCCCAGAGCGAGCTTCAAGTGCCTTTTGCTGCATGCCAATCCTGAGGCAGGGACCCCTCCTGCAGTTGGGGGGACCCAGCATTTCTGCTTATGTGGGGGCCTGGGTTCTGTCATAAAGTCTCCCCCCGACAGGCCACTTCCCTTGGAGGGGAGGTTATGGCACCTCAGGGGACTCCCTGGTGCCTGTGCTTAGTTGGAGGGGCTGGGTTGGCCCAGCCTAGGGTGCTCCCAGACCATAGGACACACTCCACATAGTGGTGGGGGCAGGCCTGGGAGGGGTGACGCTGGGGGCAGGTGCAGGGGGTGCGGATCGGGGGCAGGTGAGGAGCTCCGTGTGCTTGCCACCAGGTCTTGTGCCTCTGCTGACCCCGGTCCCAGCCACCCCTCTGCTGAGCCCCCGCTTTCTTCCTGCTGCTCTCCCCATCACCAAAAAGGCCACGATGTTCACTGTTGTCTCCCCCCCGGGGCAGGGGCTGGGGGTATGTACTCACTGCTGTATGACTAGACCTGCCCTGCACACAGCAGGTGCTCAATAAATGTGTGGATACACAGGTGCTTACGTACTGATGGTTCTGGTCCTCAGAGCCCTCACGTCCAGCAGGGAGGACGGACCCGCCACCCATGGCCACAAGGAGGGCAGATCCGGGGCCCAGGGCAGCCGGTGCGAGCTGAGTCTGACAGGACTCGGGACCAATGGCAGGGACAGCTGAGCACGGGCCCAGCAGAACCTCACACATCTGGGAAAATGGTGGTGCGGCTGTGACCCGGGCTGGAGAGCTGTGAGGCCTGGGGTCTGGCAGGATGTGTACCCCTCTGCCCAGTGGCCGCCCCCAAGGCTTGGGCTGTCCACCCCTGGGCAGACCTTCTCAGATGCCTGGGCAACGGGGCTGGAGAAGGCTGCCTCCCTGGCTCTGAAGTCGGCTTCTGCGTTCTGCTGGCCGGAGGGCATCAGGGCCCACCTGACCCTCCCCGGGGGACAGCTCTTCTGGCTGGCCCACGGGATTCCAGGCTAATGCCCAGGGCTCGGGCAGCCCCGCCAGCCCGCCAGCCAGCAGAGCCTCATGACGGCCACCTGTGACCTGCTGGGGGGTGTCTTGGGGCTAGTTGAGGCAGCCAGGTGCTGCCCTCCCCTCTGCAGGAACTTGGGCAAGGGGCGGGGAGCGGGGGGCTACTGAGCTGGGGTGCAGCCTGGGAGCTTTTGGCAGCAGGACCTCGGGATGTGACCGCAGCAGGCACTCTATTCCTGATCCTTTAAATACTGGGAGAGAGGATGTAGGGAGCTCTGCTCTCAACCTGACGAGCACCCAGAACATGGGGGTGGGGTGCCAGTGCCCCTTCCTGAGGGAGACACCCCAGGCTGAGTGGCTGCCATGGGGATGGCTCTCCCCGCTCCCAGGCAGTGAGGGCCCACGTTCACCCCCAGGAGGCCTCGGCACCAGGCAGAACACAGGTACGCAGGCGGCGGTGGGTCCCACAAAGCCAGACGAACAGTGAGGACCTCCACGTGGTTCTGCAAAGACCTTTATTGGGTGGTTCCTTCCTGAGCAGGACACAAATGTCCGCAGGGCTGTGGGCAGCACTGCTTCCGGCTGCCCACCCCTCAGCGAAAGGGCCTTAGGCCAGACATGCCCGGGTCCCCACTGCGGGCGGCGCGGTCACTTCTCCAGGGGCGCGTAGTTGAGCAGCTTCTCGATGAGGTCCACGTGGGCCAGCAGCATGCGGCGGCAGCAGTAGCGCTTCAGGCCCAGCGCGTCCAGGGCGTCCCTGCGGGCAGGAGAGGACGGTCTCTAGAGAGCCACCTCGGCCATGTCCCAAGCCAATAAGAGCCCCCAATGTCCCTGGGACCCAGACCATTCACCCTCGAGGCCTCCAGAAAACTCTCACACCGTTGGCCCCAATGCGCGGGGATGGGAAAGGGGTGCCTGGCTCGCAGGGAGGGGTCCTGGGCACCCCAGCAGCCTCCTCAGGGTCTAGTGCAAACACCTGCCCATCCATGGCTCCTCTGCTCTCCTCACACCGCACTGAGAGCCTGCGCAGGCTGGCACACCCCAGGCCACCAAATGTGACCAGGACCTGGCCGACCGCACAGTGGCCAAAGGCGAGGCGAGTGGGGAACAGAGGCAGGCGGGCGGGCACGGGTAACTGTGCTGCGGGGCCTCGCGATGGCAGCTCCGTCTCGGGAAGCTGTCCTACTCCCAGAAGACAAGGGGGCTTGCGGGGCCTGGGGGGCCCACAGCGGAGAGGTCAGGGAGCAGGTGGACAGGGAGGAGGCGCGCCCTGACTGGTCAGAGGGCACCTAGAAGCCCCCACCGCCAGTGGCTTGATGCCCGACTCCCTCCGTCCCCCAAACTGCAGGGGGAGGGGGGGGACGCTCTCCCGAGAGCGGGGCTGGGCT